CACAGCAGTCTCTGCAGGGTGCGTTGCTGGTACACCTCGTTGGTGCAGTATTTCACGTAGGGGTCGAAGGTGGAGCTCGCGTGTCTCGCCACGATGTCACTGATGTCATCGATGAAAATGTTGTTCTGGTGCCTCGCCTCCAGCTCCTCAAAGAACCTGGGGGGGTCAAACCGATGGCTCACGTTTAAACACAAATGGCAACTTTCCCTCCCGACATCAACCCGGCACAAGCCACAGCTCTGATGTGATGACAGCAGGGCTGCTCTGGGCCAGGGGAGGACGGGACACGGGACACAGGACACTGGGACACTGGACACAGGACACTGGCCCAGGCTGCTGCTGTCCCCTGGCTCAGCAGCACCAGCTCCTTTCCACAGACACTTCCCACCCTCCCACTGCCACAGCCAAACGGCATCACCGAGCTGGTCAGACCTGAATTTCCAGAAATGGGGCTGGAAAAGAAATGAAACTACTTCAAACACACATTAACACATTTCCTCTTGCAATTAAAGGCAGCACAACCCCAGAAGTGCTGGATGGGACACGGGCCTGGCTGCTGAGCCAAGGACAAAGGCAGGGCAGTCCCCCACTGCAACCAAACTGGAAACACTGAACCCAAAATCCTGAGCTGGCTCTTCCCCCAGCCAAGCCTGTCCTGACAACTTCCCTGATGTCTGTGCTCTGTCCCACACGAGTCTCTTTGGCCACTGGAAGCCTCTCACTGCTTTTTGCACTCCCAGTGTTCCCAAAGTCTTGATTTCCATTGATGCTCACTGGAAATCCCCCACTGCTGGGCTGGAGCAGCTCACAGAGCAGCTCTGCAGTCACCCCTCACAATGAGAAACTGTCCTGGCTGCAGCCTTTGGACATCACCATCCACTGCAAGAATCCTCAACTCCCTGGAGTCAACATGTTCAAAAAAAAGTTCTCAAATAGCACAGAAAACATTAAGGAAATACTTAGAACACATGAGCTCACATTAAGCTCCAATATTTTCAAATCTGCTTTATTTAATTTCAGCCCTTTATTCCATTTTTTCATCACTAACAGTGGCTCTTCAAATCTGCCACGTTTTTTTCAAGTGATGTTCTCCACAATTTGCTTTATGAACACACCTCAAACATGAGAGGAGCAGAGCAGGATGAAGAGCAGCAGATCATCCAGGCTTTAACTAAAGCAAGGCACTCTTCTCCAGGGGCTCAGGAGCAGCAGGCTGCTGAACAGGGCTGCAAGTGCTGAGCACTATTTATTATTTATTATTTGTTATTTATTATTGGCCCTGCCACTGCTGAGGACTGAGTCCTCCAGCACCTTTCTGCCCCCCAGCAGCCTCTTCCAGGGCACAGCACATTGTGAGCTGTCACAGACTTGTCCTGTGCTGTGGGTTTGGGGTTCAGTGGCAGGACCAGCCCCAAGAAGCACACAAATAATAACATTACATAGAAACCAGCCTGTAAGTGTGGAGTCTGCAGTGTCTCAGGAGCCACAGCAGAGCCCCATCCCACCCTGGGATTTGTTTCTCTCTGCCCAGACATGTTTATGGCTGGGGGAACCTCCCACTGCTGCCAATTCGCTTTGCTGAGGAAATGAGGAAATCCAACATTTCCTGCTGTGTTATGGCACCCTGACAAGGTGCTGGACCCTGCTGGGCCACAACTTCCACCTTCAGAATTTATCTGGTGCTTCATCAGTGACATCATCAGAGACAGTCCCTGGGAGAACAGTAAAGACCTGGGAGGGTAGAAGACAAAAAAAAAAAAAAAGAAAAGAAAAAGGGGAAAAGAGAGACAAAGAGGAGCAGTGTATCAAAGGCCCATCTCCCAATATGTCCCATAAGGAAATCCTGCATCAAAGTTTGAATCAAAAGTTGTAGTTTTCCACATCTAATCTGCCAATTATTAGATATCAGTGAACCAGACACATCATAAACCCTTTCACTGACAATTTTAGGACAGATTCTGCCATAAAGCTCAGGACTGGGGGATGGAATAATTCCATTCAATTCAACCAACAAGGAATCTGCTGTGATGTGTGCAGCTTTTTTTGCTGAATGTCAGAAGGATTTACTTCAAACATCTTTTTTAAATCCAGGACTTTTCTGGTTCAAGTTAGATTCAATTGAGAGAAAGCCAAACAGCATCACAGGACACAATTTGATTTCCTTCATCTTGTCCTTACATTGTTTAAAAGAGCCATCCACTCTGCAACCCTCCTGAATTCAGAAATGCAGGTTTAGCCCCGGGGTGCTGCTGACACCACCCAGGGACAGGAACCACAAGCAGAATTCAGATTCTTCCCCCTGGAGACAGAGAACTGGAGCCACAACTGCCAACCTGAGACAGCTTCAGCTGGAAGCAATGGACATTTCTGATTAACCCCTCCAGATCTGAACCTTCTCATCAGGAACAGAATCTGAACATCTCCAACATTATTGTTATTTAGGGAAGGGGGATTTAAAATAGTAAAAATGGGGGAAATAGTCTTATTTCCATAGAACTTTTATGCTGACTCAAAATCAGTTTTTACAAAAAAAAAAAAAAAAGGCTGGAGAGAAGGTGATTGAAGTGCAGAACTGAAATCGGTTTGCTTGGTGAGTTCCCACAGCCTCAATAATACAAACCAACACACAGCTACACACACAAATAGCAGCTAACCCTGCAGACTCAGAGCCCAGAAAACACCTTTTAGTGGGCAAGATGCAGGGAGAAGCTGAGCCTGCAGCTGTTTGTTCCCTCTGTGAGCAGCTCTGGGCCAGCCCATGCCCCAGGGCCTGTCCCACTGGGCACCTCCCCAGTTATTTACAGAGCTCTGGCACAAACCCAGGGCACTGGGGAGGCCCCAGCAGCCCTGCCAGGATATCCAGCTCCAGAGACATTCCCTGACTGCAGGGAGGGCCCCACAGCACCTGGTCAGAGCTGGGACCTGCAGGACAACAGATGTTGGGAAAGGCTGGAAATCCAGTCCATTCAGCCAATAAATGCACCCAGAGACACTGGGACAGCAAAGGGAACATCTCTGCTAAGTCATGAACCCCCACAGCTGCAGTGGGCACGTTCTGTGATCGTCACTCAGACACAGAGTTTAAAACCAGACAGAATCTGTTCCAATTTTCCTGCTAATGCTGCTCTGGTATCACAAAAGCATTTTCCCCTTGCTGGCCTAGGGGCAGAGAAGGCACAAATGCTGAAGCTTTCCTTTCTCCTGTCACCCTGGACATGTGGCCCTGCACACACTTCCCTCATTTCCCTGTGGCTCCTCTTTCCAGAGAGCTCCTGGGGAGCTGTGTCCTCACCTGCCCTTCTGACCCTGACCCTGATGTCTCAGGCTGCATTCCTTCCTCATTCCTGGCTCATCCCTGCCTCATCCCTGCCTCATCCCTGCCTGAGCTCCTCCCTGGCTCCCATCCCCACCAGCCCAGTCCAACAGCTCCTGCCTGGGGCTGGAGCAGGCAGGGTTTGGGTCTCAGCCCTCCTGCCCTGCCCAGCACCCAGGGCAGTGAGCTGCAGCTCTCTGACACCTCCCAGGCTCCGTGGGCACAGCCAGCATGTGCTGCACACGTTATTCATCCCCACTGCCCTTTGTCAGACATCCCAGGGAGCCCCCAAGAGCAGAGACAGTCTCTGCTCCCTGCTGCCAACAAAGGCAGCTTTGTTCCCCCAGCAATGGCCCTGTCAGGCCCATCCTGGTGCTGCTGGAGAGTTTCCATTAAACATATTCCAAGTCAAAGTTCCTAGACAGAGGCTTTAAGCAGTTCTGACTAAAGGTTTTTATAAAGTATTTTTATCAGCTCAGGTTTTGTCCAAGCAACCAAACTCACTGGTAGCTACACTCAAACTCAGGCTTTGTACCAAGCAAAGACTGCTGAAAATACAGCAGAATGGGACAGATGCTCCATTTTATAACAAAAGGGTGATTTTGCTACTTTGAAACACCTTGAAAATGGAAAGCAACAGTTTGGGGTTACCAAGCTGGTATCTGGTTTAAAATCACTTCCATTATTTACACAAATGATGTTGCTCAAAGCCAGCACAAGGTTTTGTTTCAGTTTAACAGTATTGCAAAACTTGGGAAAGAAATTATGTTTTCATTTAAATTTATAAACGAGTTATGACTTCCGATTTCACTCCAAGTCATAAAAAACCAAGTGCTTAAACGCAGACAAGAAAGAATAAGATTGTAATTCTAGGCTAATGTGGTATTTTTCCATTCTTTTTTTTCCCCTCTCCCTCCCACTTCCTCTGAAGACTATTAACCAAAAGGGATGCAAGAGTTCCCCTAAGAGCAGTGCTCTCCCCACCCCCTCTGTCCTTTACTTTTACACCTCACACTTGGTGTAAGGAGCACCTGTAAAAGGAATTTTTCCCTGAAGATGGAGCCTGTGCTGAGCTGCCCTCCCTGACAGCAGTGCTGCCACGCCGGGCTGGCTCTGGCCAAAGTTTCAGCTGCAGGGGACAAGGAGAGGGCAATGGGGGGACAAAGGAAGGCTCCAAACCAAACCCAGATCTTCTCCTGCTCCACAGCTCCTACACTGGGCTTGCACTTGACACAGCACATCAACCTCCAAAAAACCAGGATCTTGTTGCTGCATGAACTTCAGAAGACAAAAGTCAAACTGCTGCACAACAGATGTCAAATTCCACAGACTTGGTGGTGTCTCACAGAAAAAAGCCAAGAAATGACTTTACCATGACTGGGAACATGGAACTCCACAAGTTCCACCAAGGTAAATGAGGGTTTAATGCAAAGAATTCACAACTTTGCAATTTCTACAAAGGGGACAAAAGAAATTCAGAATCCTCATTCACCCTTCAGCCCCCTTCTGAAAGGAGGCCAATGTTTCTGTTCCACAGCTAAAGAGATCCAGGTGAAACTGTACAGAGACCCCTCAGCACCTTCACCAGCCCACGAGCATCCTTCAGCCCTGGACTGGAAATCAGGGACGAGAAAAGCAACACAGACATTTTGATGCTTAAATGGAACACAGAACCCACCTGCTGCTGTGAATGCAGAACAAGCTGCAAGGAAGCAAAGCAGCACTCAGCGACTTTTTGAAAGAGAGTGTGAAGTGTCTGAGAGCACATACATATGCATGACCCGGATTAAATAACATTGGCAGTAATTACCAGTCATGAACAAGACTCTTCTGCATTTGTATCGTGTCAGATCTGCCATTTCCTCCTCTCCAGGCACTATCTGTAGTGTTTGTTCCCTTGCTCCAGACTGAAGGAATGTGCCCAGAGCACAGCAGCTCATCCCTGTGGCACAGCCAGGCCCCGGTGCCACCCAGGGGTGACAGTCCCAGAGCACAGCACCCTCTGCATCACCCGGCACGAGCCACTCCAGGGCAGGCACCAAACTCCAGCTCGACTTTAACAGCCCAGCAAGGCAGGCTGAGCTTTATGTGGTGCACTGGGTCTGAATTTAACTCAGAACTGCTTGGATTTGAAGGATGCTGATTTCCACTACGATTCACCCTCTGCTTTCCTTCCCTCCCCATTTCCAGAGACACAAACCCCTGCTCACCCTCCTGTGCCTCTTCAAACCAGCAGGAGTTTTGGAAGAAATGGCCACCACTACAATGGTTACCTCAGCTTCCCAAAAGAAACCTGCAGCTCTGTCACACACAGAAATGCCACACTTACTTTTTGCTTGCTTCATAAACATCTGTGATGTTGGAGAAGAGGTGGTGGCTCTCTGTTTTGGTCATTGTGAGGCTCAGTTCCCTGGAATTTTTAAACATCCGGATCAGAATCTCCAGGCTCAGCAAATAGGAGTGCTCAGAAGATATCACCTCAAATATTGCCTGCAAAGTGGAGGGGCAAAAGAAGAGACTTACTAGTGACTGGGCTTTTTCCTCAAAAATAAAATGTTGAGCAGGGGTGCAAAGCAAAGTTTTGCAGGTAAGCTAGAGATTACGACTTAAATGTTGCATCATTAATTAGAAATAAGTGATTTAATACTAGAAAAAAGGTCTTTTTAAAGAAGCCTACATTTAGAGTAAGTGCAAAGCAGGAGTTTGAAGACAGCTCAACAGCAGGGGTGACCCCAGGAGCACAGCAGTGAGGCTGGGGTCCCTTCCCAGGCTGGGAACAAAGGGACAGACACTTTGCTTCTGATGGGCAGGGAAGGGAGAGACAATCATCTGAGCGGGAGCCAAAGCCATTCTGGAGAGTAAAGAGCAGAGGAGGGTGCCTGACACCCCCTGTGCCTGCTGGCTGCTCCTGGGGACACCTGAACCCCCAGGACAGAAACACCCCCGGGGGACAGGGGCACCTGCAGCTGGTACTCTGCTATTTCACACAGACAGGTACCTCAGGCTTGCCAGGAAAGATATACTGAAAGTAATTTTAGTTCAAATCAGTCTGTGACACATTTTCTTTAGCCAAAATAGGCACAGAGATCCACCTCACTAA